TGACCTGAGCAGAAGTCGGATGCCCAACTGACTGAGCCACCCAGGTGCCCCGAGGAAGGTTGTTCTAAATTACTGCGCTCCCATCACTGAGAGCAAGAAGTCCTCTTCAGGAGAGGGGCTCTGCCCACCATGTTACTCTTTAACATTTAATATCAGGCATTGTCCAGTAGCAGGAGTTGTATCTGAGAATAACTTTGGAGAGAGAAAGAGAGAGAGAGAAACATAATACGGTAGCATAAGAGTGTGGGCTAATTTTGGACCACAGTCAGGCTCCATTTGAAGCCCTTTGTTTCAGAGATTGGCTTGGCCAAGATATTTTGTTCTTTTCTTTAATTAAGAAAAAAAAAAGCTCTTAATGCCGTAGAACCCATAGGATCCTTTCAAAACGAATCATGTCTATATAGATATGTTTCTCTGGAAGTTATAAAACTATCTTTAAAATATCTCCTAAAAAAGAAATACATACCAAACCCTAAAATGTATTTTAGATTTAGATTTCCCATCTCAGGAAATTTGGAAAATAACCGGAAAATATTTTTGTGACTTAAAGAAGCTTTTCTGAGCTCCCCATCATTACCTGACTCATTCATTTAAAATGCATCATTGGACTTTCCCTGTTTTCCTATGCTAGGGCCCCAAACATTGGGAGTATGTACTTCTCAGCCTTGGAGAATGTATAATCTAGCTAAAACCAGACAGGTGAAAACCATCTAAAGTGATAAATATGCATAAGATCTTATAATGAAATGTACATATATTACAGAACCTAATTCCAAGAATGAACATTTATGAATTATTCTGCTTCACTGATCATTTATCATAAACCCTCATGGCAGTTCATAGTTGTTGACTACTTTTGGCTTCCCCTGAGAAATTCAAAAATACCTGTGTAATCTAAAAAGCTTCATTTGTTAATAGCCCCTAAAACTTATACACTAAAAAGTAGTATAAAAGAATAGGCAAGGGGGCAGATGCAGGAGTTAGACTGCGGGGGCATGAATTCTTACGAGTTGGGTGACCTTGATGGGGTCATTTAACTTCCATCCCCTTCTGTTTACTCTTCTGTAAAATAAGGATGAGGGCACCTACTTTGTAACATGTTTGTGCAGAACAAAGGAGCTGAAATCAATCTTGCACTTAGAACAAGTAGTAGGGCCTGAGAAAATACTCAATGTAAATTCTTTTTTTTTTTTTTTTTTCTTCAGGTGCAATCATGGTTAAACATCTACTTGGGGGAATTGAAGAATAACTTAGAAAATACTTTGTGAATTATTAGGAACAACATCCACAATCAAGAGGGAAAAGGGAAAATCCATTTTGTTCCCAGGCAAGAAACTTTTAAACAAATATCTTTCCTGTCCCCGCTCAAATGTGTGTGGTACAAAAGCAGTTTTAACTTTGTCCTTCCAGAATATCTTTTTGATTTTTCTTATCCTCACACCTGAAAGAATTGGCTAGCGACTTTTCTTACTGGAGGCAATTTTACTGAAAGAATATTTACTTCCTCATTGTGCAGGGACCGGAGCCTCAGTAAAGACGGTTCACTTATGTCCTCATTACCTACACTCTCATTGATAATATAGCTGTTCTCCTACCCAACTCAATCCTCTCTCCTCTTTGCCTCTAAATCAAACTTTTGACTTTGGCTATTGTATTACTATAATCTTGATTATCAAGTACCTTTCTTAAAAGCCTGGGAGAGAACTTGAATAGCACTGTATTTACCAATTACTACCCACGAGAACATTCTGTCTTGTTAAAATTTAAATTGACCTGAAACAGTAAAAATATACTTTCTCTAATAAAAAGCCCCATTCATTGGACAACTTTTCTTCTTCATAGCCTTTTAATGTTTGTATTCTTCTTTTCTTTTTTTAAATAACGTTTATTTATTTATTTTGAGAGAGAGAGCACGTATGCACACACAAGTGGGAGAGGGGCAGAGAGAGAGGGAGAGAGAGAATCATCTCAAGCAGTTCTGTCCTGCCAGTGCAGAGCCCGATGCAAGGCTTGAACCCACAAACTGTGAGTCCATGCATGACCTGAGCTGAAATCCAAAGCCAGACACTCAACAGACTGAGCCACTTAGGTGCCCCTAATGTTGGTATTCTTTTTTTTTTTTTTTTAAATTTTTTTTTCAACGTTTATTTATTTTGGGGACAGAGAGAGACAGAGCATGAACGGGGAAGGGGCAGAGAGAGAGGCAGACACAGAATGGGAAGCAGGCTCCAGGCTCTGAGCCATCAGCCCAGAGCCCGACGCGGGGCTCGAACTCACGGACCGCGAGATCGTGACCTGGCTGAAGTCGGACGCTTAACCGACTGCGCCACCCAGGCGCCCCACCTAATGTTGGTATTCTTAAGACCTAAGGGCTTTTTCTTTGCTCTCCCATTTCTTTTTGAAATCACATCCATGTTAAGGATTTCCTTCCCTACCACTTTGTATCTTTTGCACAGAATTTTGCACAGAATTTGCACAGTTCTGAAGATCGATCCGACTTCCTCCTGGACAGCTCCCATCTGGATATCCCAGAGACGCCTCAACCTCAATATGTCTAAAGCAACTAACGATAAAGTGCAACCAAAGTGACCAATATAATTATGCTATATCTCTGCTTAGGTTCTTGAATTAACCTCTCAGTCAATGGTGCCAGTATTTTCCAACTAAAGGGTGCATAAGCATTACCTAGGCATCTTGTAAATCTGTGGGGTCCTGGGCTACAAAAATTCTGATTCAGTAGATCTGGGAATGGAGCTCAAAAATCAACATTGTTTTTCAAATGTCAATTTATTTATTTTGAGAGAGAGTGTGTGAGTGGAAGAGAGGGGCAGAGCGAGAAGGAGAGAGAGGATCCCAAGCTGGCCCCATGCTCAGCATGGAGCCCGATGTGGGGCTTGATCTCACAACTGTGAGATCATGACCTGAGCTGAAATCAAGAGTCGGACATTTAACTAACTGAGCCACCCAAGCACCCCAGGCATCAGCATTTTTAAGAAACGTGTCAAAGCTCTGACATGGGCAGCTGGATCCCATTCTGAGAAGGACTGCACTGCAGGACAATTCGGCGCCCTGGGGATAGCACACATGCCCATGGTTTTCGGCATGTACTCACCTCTCTAACCTCATCTCTGTCTATTCCCCCCTTCGTGTCCTAAAATCCAGCACGCAGGCCAAGGACCAGGAGCCTGGGAATGCCTGCATCTTGACCTGCCACTCACTCATGTTTACTTCGAAGATCTCCCTGAAGGAGGTCTACCCCCAGACTATAACAGAAGTGAGAAAAACGCCATCTTGTTAATAGCTCAGACTATGCCCGATACCCTTGAGTTCATGGTCATCTTATAAAAACTGGAATGCTAAACATGGCTGAGCATAGGATAAAGAGAAGGAAGCAAGACACCGCCCTTGGACCAAGAGTGTCCACATCTACAAAGCCAGGCCTGAGTTCACTTGCCCAACTGATGATCAACAGCTGGTCTATGGCCAGGCAGGAGACCTGGGAGCAGGGAACAAGGGTCGGTGGAGTCCGTCTAAGGAGACAGAGGTAAAAGTGTGCTTATTTCATGGGAGGACAAAATTTAAGAGAGGTACCATGCATGGCTAACAATCTTTAAGCCACAGTAACTGCTCACTGTAAAATGAGACTAATTTCTCTTCCCTTATTTTAGGGGAGGGGTCTTGGGAGGTAGACTGTTGGGTGGAGGCTGGAAGCCTGGGAAGACAGTGGACACTTGTTGCTCCTGGACTGCCGGAGGAAGGACAGAGTCAGAGCCACTCAAGGACAGAGCTCTACACCCCTTGCCATCACGGACTCTTTGGAATACTAGAAAGAAAATATATTTGGGCAAAAATTATTCTTTGCAAAATTGTAACTTTTGATTCGGGAATGAGATAAGGAAACACAAATTACATCTCTTAGAGAATACAAATGAGTTTTCAAGAAGCAAATGGGAGTGTTTCTCAGTGTGAGATACCTTATCTGGCTTAATTAAGAGCCCCAGGAATCCTATTCAGGGAGCATTGATCACATCAGATTTCCTTTTCTCTAAAATAAAAATGCAGCCAGTGAAAATTTATCCAGTCCTGAGAATAAAGAGCTCTAGATTCTTCCAGAGAACTTGGAGGTATGAAAAAGAGGTGTATATTTGAAAGTTGGAAATGTGGAATAGGGGTAAAGATTCAAATTCTGCCTGTGGTAATATCTTTAGTGCATAACGCTTCCTTCAAAATCAGACCTATCTCCCTTCCAGGTAGAAGCTGGACACTCACCAGTAACCATTAAGTCCATTCAAGGCGACCCAAACTTCAGATGAACGCAAGGCAGCCCATTCTCAGAGAACACTCTTTTCACCTTTAATTGTGCCATCTTTCCATGTTTCATTTTACCTGGGATGGGAGTTGTGGCTCTTGGCCAGGCCTGGTGATTGGGGTGAGACCAACCCCATGGTGGGTGCCAGAGGTGGGTATCAGCTCCCAAGGAAGGCCAGAGTTTAAGGCAGAACATGAAAAGTTTGGAAATCCAACTGGCCAAGTAAATATGTTAAAGGCACATTCCAGAGGCTGATTGGAAACCTGCCTTGCCTAGTCTTCATGTGCCTTCATGAGCCTTAAGTTTTTGGAGTGCCGTCTTGTCCCTCGAGCTAAGGAAGAAGACAGAGGAAGGCTAAAATCAAGTTTCTGGAGAAACTCCAGAAACTTCCATTATACCCGTGAAGACCATGTGTGCATCAGGAAAACCTGGCCCAGATGGTCTGGAATGACCGAGGCTTCAGACCTCCTGCCAATGAACACGCTTTTCCCTGTTCACCCACCATTGCTCCCACCCCACAGTACTGTGACTGGGGGACCTGCGTGCCTAAGCCAGCCCCCACCACTGCCAGCTTGCCAACAACAGGCTTCAACTCGGCCATTTCGGTGAAGGGCCCACAGGCACCTCTAGGGAGAGTTCCAGAGCCTGTAAGTCATTTCTGGAGACACTGAACCCTGGTCACCTACCCTGGTCACCCTGGCACATTTAGCACCCCCAGGGGCAGTGTGCAGGAGGCTAGTTCCATGGTTCCCCCAAATTCTAGGAAGGAGAGGAGAGAAGAGAAGGGAATGGAGTAGCCCTGATGCTTTTTATTATAACTATATTTCTGTATCAATAGATCTGTCCCTAGCCACCATTATTTCACTCTTTGTGCTGTCTTATCAAATACTCACAACAATTAACGTGAGGAAGATATAATTACTACTGTTTGCAGATGAGGCTCGGAGAAGTTAAGTTACTTTACCCCTCATCAATGGTTCTCGAACCTTTGCATATATGAGACTCCCCCGAAGGGATTGTGACCACACAGAATGCTGAGTTTCTGATTTAATGGATCTGGGATGGGGCTCAAGAATTTGCATTTCCAACCCGTTCTCAGGTGCTGCTGCTGCTGGTGGTCCGGGGTCCACACTTTGAGACACAGAGGTGTCCACAGTCTCGTGGGGTCCCAGACAGTAAACAGCTACCGATCTGGGAGAAGTGCGCGGCAGAGGGATGCGTGCAGGTCCACCTGAATCTGGAAGAGAGGCAGGCAGGGCTTCTGTTTCACACATCTTCTGGGGTGAGGGGGTCTGGTCATATTACAGAAACGGCCCCGCCTCCTCCTCTCCGCTCTACTTTTGGGGCAAAACTACTGGAGGTATACCAGTTGGGGTTCCATCAGAAGCAGAAACCTCACATGTTTTTACAGGGACAGTTTAATTTAAAATAGTATTAAGTATTTCTAGGAGATTAAACACTCAGAGAATAAAACAACTCTCAAGGACATCCCAAGGCTGCAGTAAATTAGTCCCAGGGGGCCCGCTGGATGGGGAGGGGGCTGACTGGGCTGCTATGGGCCCCAGTGGGTCTACAGGTGGAGACTATGGTTGGAGAGCAAAGAAACTCAGATGGGGACGGGCCTGCTGTAAGCTTCCCGCTGGGTCACAAGTAGGCCAAGGCCAGTGGACAGGGAATCCTGGGCCAGGACCAGCAGACCTTCCTGGGGTGCCAGCGGGCCAGGAATCCAGGCTGGGACTGGCAACAACACGTGCTGGAGGGTAAGCACTACTGGGGGTTCAGCACACGTGCTCCAGGCAGCCACGGGGAAGCAGAAACAAAAGCACAGACCAGGGAGAGAGGCCCTTCCTCCTGCAGCGTCTCTTCCATACCCTCCACACAAGCTTAACATCGTGCCAGATGGCAAAGGAGAAACGTTCACAGAGTCCAGTGTCATTATCTGGAAGTAAGGCATTGAAAGGTGCATTGAGAAGCAAGAAATTGATAACTGTACCCACCAGGGATCCACGAACTTAAACTACAGTGTGAATGACCTTTTGGAATCCAGAAGCAAGGTGGCCCTGAGAGAGGCATTCGCCCACGTCGGTGGGTGGTTAGCGGAGTTGTCCTTGAAATACTTTCCATTCCGTCATGGAAATTGGCTGGAGGAAAGACAGGAAAGGCAGTGCAGGCAGAAAGAATTGTTTTCCTGAAGGCACATAGGGGGAGAAGACCATGAACTTTCCCAAGGAGCCATTGGGTAGAGAGAAGGGCAGATATTGAGCTTTTCATCCTCCCAAGAACAAATGCTAGTTAAGCAAAGAACTTCACTTCCCTGAACCAAAATGGATGTGAGGGAGCAGCTCCTTTTGTCACCTGCCCTCCTCCATCTCCCCTCCCTACAGACCTTTCCACCCTACTTCCTGCCTTTCCTCCTAGACTTGCCCCTCCTAGCCCCGCCCCAACCCCACTCCCTAGCCCCGCCCCAACCCCACCCTCTTAGTCCCGCCCCCCAACCCCACCCCTCCTAGCTCCACCTCTTCAAGCCCCACACCTCCCAGCCCCACCTCTTCTAGCCCCACCCTCCTAGTTCTACCTCTTCTAGCCCCACCCCTCCCAGCTCCACCTCTTCTAGCCCCACTCCTCCCAGCTCCACCTCTTCTAGCCCCACCCACCTAGTTCCACCTCTTCTAGCCCCACCCCTCCTAGCTCCACCTCTTCTAGCCCCACCCCTCCTAGCTCCACCTCTTCTAGCCACGCCCCCTCCTGGCTCCACCTCCTTCCTTTTGAGAATGCCGTTCTTTCACATTTCTCCCCAGTAGTCTTTGGAGTCTCTAGGATGAGATCAGGGGCTTCATAAGAGGTGATTCTTTCCACTACTTCCCTCCTCTCTTGCTGTAGTTCATTGTAGATGAATCTTCTGATGCTGCCAATGCCACACCCACCAGAGGCACCCCCACTTCGGCAAGTGCCCAACAAGGTCTGTGCCAAAGCTCCAGAGGCCTGCTGTGTAGGGCCCCAGTGCAAACACGCCGAAGGTGGCCACCATTGTTGCCCGAGCAGGTGCTGGTGTCCACTGACACCCTGTCCAGGGCTGCTTCTGCCTGAGGCAGGGGCTGATGTCTGCAGCAGAGACTGGGGACCCTAAACAGCTTGCTCTCCCTGGCCCTGGGAGCAGGGTCACGTCTCCCTCCAACACCAGCTCAGGTTCTTAACCAAAATGTAGCCCTTGCACCCTGTTAAGCATGAGTTCCCTTCCAGAAGGCTCCGAGGTTCGTTATGATAATAGACCAGGGATGGCAAATGGGTATCATTTCACTGCCCTCCAGATGTTTGAGGATCCTCTGGGCAGGTCCAGAACAGGGGAGGAGCAGCACCCTGATAAATTACACATGACAAACGGAGGTGGCGCCTCTGCAAATCTCCTGGGAAACCAGTGTGGCCCAATCCCACCGCCAGCACAGCAGGGACCCCTCCTTCTGAACTGTAATCTCACTTTTCAAACAGGAAATAGAAGAATAAAGCTTGTTTTGACACAAGAGCTATAATTTGTACGTGAGAGTAGGTGCTGGAAACACCACCTGTGCACCCAGCTCTCGGTAGGAACAGCCCAATGGCTAAAAAGAAGCAGCTGCTTTTCCTCTGCACCGAGGCATCGTGTGTCCGAAAGGTTACCCTGGGTGTCTGCCTCATTGTCCCTCTTGAAGCAGGATGGGTTGTGGCAGGACCCCTTAGGGAACTGGACAGTTCAGGATAGGAAAGTGAATCCTCTAAGTTGGGTCCAGATGCTGAAGAAGCACATCAGCGGGGAGGGGGGGTGGTGGTGGTCCCTGAGCCAGGTCGTCTTGGCGGGCTGAAACCTGACAAAATGTCGGGAGGAGAACCAGGCAAATCAAAATGAACACTGGAGACTCTTGTTCTCGGTGGTCGGAAGCTAGGGATGGAGGCACCAGCTCAAAATCTTAGCTCCCCAGCTGCTATCCTGCAGATCATGGTGGGCCAGTCTGGGCCTTCTGTGTGGACCCAGGGAGGAGGGGTGGCTGCACCACCCTCGGCAGGGAGTGAGGCCCTGGCGGCAGGTGCCACTGGCCTGGCCCTCTTTGGAACGTGAATTTCTTATGGTTGCCGAGCTCCAGAAGTCCCAGGGTGTAGGGACTGTTGAGAGCTGCTGTACCTCCCCCCAAAACAGGAGGGAGAGGGACCCTCGAGGAAAGAGCTCAGTGCTAGCATCGAACACCTGCTCTCTCACATTTTCCTGACGTGTGGAATTGCATAAGCTCCTGGTGAGTTTGGTTATTCCTTGAGACAACTGGGGAAGAACTTCAGAAGACTGCAGGAAGGATTTTAAGAAATAATAGATGCATAGTACTTGCAGTGTTCGCCCAATTGGCTGAATTGACATATTTGACGGGAAACAGGGAGGGTTGGAGGTGATGACCTCTATGTTCTTTTGAACCCGAGGTGTCTGATTCTACTGGTTTCAGCTTCTGTGCTGGAAGCTGCTTTTGTCCAACCCGCGGGCCATCGGTGGACTCTTCTCTCAGTCTGCCTGTGAAGCGCTGCTTGCTCCTGGGCGCCCTCTGGAGGTCAGGGGACGCAGGCACAAGCAGGGCCGGGAGCGCTGCTGCGCTATTGGACTTCAAGGAGTGTTTTCAGCCCTGGTGTTAGGGACAGGGGGACTGTCTTCAAGCAAATGATTTGCACAGTTTGGACTGTGCATGCCCTTCCTTGTCACGTGGCTCCCCTAATTTCGCCCGTGGCGCCTGTCACTGCTGCTGCTGGGCCCGCCGTGGAGCTCCCAAAAAGAGAGACATCAGCCGCTCCCCCTCGCGAGCACCCCACGCTGGTGCAGGGTGCCAGGTGCAGGGCTGGATGCCCCCGCGTGAGGAGCGCTTTGGGGAAGCTGCCTGACTGGTGACTTCTTCCAGCTCAGTGCCCAAGGACGTGACCTCACACAGGGCAGCAGCAGCGGGGTCCGGTCCGCGGGAGGAGCGGCAGGAGGCCAGAAGGTAGGGGTAGAATGAGATCATGGTAGTTGTTTGCTGGGCTCCCTGCTTGTGGGCTTGGGTGGGCTGTGTCCCCTAGAGGCCATAGCTCCTGGCTGGTGGACTTCTCTCTCCATCTCGCTGTCTGCCCCGGCTCAGGTAATTTTCCCTCGCCTTGGCTCCTCAGTCCCAGAGACTGCGTCCTCCCTGTGGCTTCCCCTAAAATCAGCCCCCACCTTTGCTAATAGGTCTTACATTAAAATCCCTCTTCCAGCTGGGACCAAGGCTAATAACTGGGTGAACTTTCTCCAAAATTCGCAGGGGCTTCTTGGGTCCAGTCCCTCTTTCAAGTATGGACTCTGAAGCCAGACTGTTGGCGTCAGAATCATCTCTTCACCCGCACCCCCAGCTGTGACTCTGGGCACAAGATGCCACTTCCCCAAGCCTCACTTTCCCTGCATGTGAAATGGGCACAATAACCTTATGTCCTCGGTGGCTTGTCACAGGAGCTAAATGTGGGGGCATGTGCCAAATGCTGGCGAAGACCTGGCTCAATGAACCTGAACTACAGCTCTGCTTCGCCCCCCTGCTTGCCTCTTCTGTACCCAGCTCCACCAAGGCCTTCACCTCCAGGAGGTGGGGTGGGGAGAAAGCCTCCATTTGGGCAGCTGGCACTTAGTCTCCGGGCAGATGTGCAGGGAGTTCAGAGTCAGGCAGGCAGCCCCCAGCTCAATGTCCGGGCCCTGGTGAATAAGTGAAGGTAGTCATTAACATGATTTTTCCCCCCGAGAATCCGTAGATCTTACAGCTAGACGCACCCCTCGGAGAAGCTCCCTGTCCCACACTTGACTGTTGTGGAAACAGAGGGCTTGTTGCCTTCCCCAGAGTCACATGACTGGTTGCTTACGATGTCCCTCCCCCCACCCCTCCCCACCCGCCCGGGCTTTCTGTTTGAGTTTGTAAAAGCATCTCTAAGGTGTTGTGATTATAGCCCAGCCCGACTATTTCACTCTGAGTTGGTAGACCGCTCCTTTGGTGATGTCAGGAAAACTAGAATAGGAATAAATACATCCTGGCAATAATAATAATAATAATCTATTATTTCATAATTTATTGTAATTATTTGTTATATATAATATTTATTATATAATAATTTATTATAATTTATATTATTATTATTATTATTATTATTCCAGTTCTGCTGCTGCTACCATTTTGTTTTCTATCCTGCACTTTTTTTTTTAATTCTCTTAAGCACTGGCCCTAATAACAAGCCGGTTCCCCGTTTTCCGCAGACAGCCTCTCTGCAGCCGTGAGCTCAGATGTGCTCCAGCTTCCGACAGTGGGTCCAGAAGGCAGGGCCTGGGCTGGCGGGACACCCAGAGCCCTGCGGGGACACCTCAGAAGGAGCAGGGCCCCAGGTGCCGCTGCCGGCTGGACGAAAGCCCCGCGCGTCGTGGGTCTTAATCAAACCGGAAGAGACTGTGACTTGTCCCCGCCAGCTTCGCAGGAGGCTTTGTTCTCATGGAAGTTGGTCTGTTCCTGAATCCCGTAGCTGGACTCCCAGCCTCGCTGTGACTCAGGCGCTGGTCCTCGAGGTTTGGGTGACCCGTTTCCAGCTCTGGGGACTAGAGAGGGCAGGCCGGGTAAACAGCTCCAAGGGAAGGGCTGGCCGCCTCTCGGACCTGGGTGGCTGCAAGGTGCAAAGGTCTTTTCTTGAGAAGCCGCCTGGGCTTTGGGAAGGAAGAAGTTCATGGCTGGGCACGGAGCAAGGAAGAGCTACCCGGAGGGAAAGCTACACAGCAGACGGACTGACGTGCAGGGGAGAGCGGCGATGGGGAGAGGGCCCCCCAGGAGAACGTGGGCGGGGGGGGGGGGGGGGGAAGGGCTCGGCATCTGTCCCCAGAGCCGGGTCTCGGTCACAGCTCAGCTGGCGATCAGGTGGCCCGCAGAGCAGCAGTCCTTGACTCCAGGAGGCCTTTTCCCCAGACAGGGGAGGACACAAGGCACTTGGAAGCTTTGCGGCTCCGAGCAGGGGAAGGGTCACACCGGGCTTTCCCCTTATTCGTGTCTCCTGGGCGCCGGACTGCAGGGCTGGGGCCTTGGCGGCCGAGGAGCCGGGCGCACCCCGGTCTGTCCCCCGGGGGCGTGGGGAGGGCACAGACCCCGCGGGGTGGGGGCTGGGCTGGTCAGGCTGCTGGAGGCCACGTGCTGTGGCAACGAGAAGGGGAGGCAGAGCCCCGTTATTTGCCATCTCTGTCTCTGCTCTCCTTCGCTCTGATGACCTTGAAGAACCTTTTGTTCCTCCTGTCCCAGTTCGGTTTCCATGGGAACCGGAGTGGCAGCCTCATCTCTCGGCAGAGGTGCTGTGCCCCCAGGATGCCAGGAACACCTAGGGGAGAGACTAGCAGAGAAGGATAAACCATCTCAGAAATTACCCTTCAGGGCGCTTCCATATTTGGTTTTCATTATTTTTATTTTTATATATAATTTATTGTCAAATTGGTTTCCGTACAACGCCCAGTGTTCATCCCAACGGGTGAAGGGTGCTTGCTTACATTCTGCTTCTGCTTTCGCCTGGGTTGTAGGTGTTTAGTTTAGTTTGGGTTAAGTTAGCCCATGGAGGCTGCAGGGGAAGAGGCTCTCGGTTCCACTCCGTCTGGATCTTTGGTCCTCAGCAATGCCTTGTGCCTGGTTGGCGTGATAATTATTTACGGAGGGATTTGTGAGCGGGGTGGCTGTGGGCACATGAAGTAATGTGATGTCCTCTCAATAAATCCAGATAACAACACAGGGCTCCTTGAGTCCTGGCCTCTCCCCAGATTTGCCACCTGACAAAATGACTTCATGAGGGAGTCATGAACTGCTCTAGATGCATTTTATTTCAACTTCTCCAAAAAGCTAATGGTACACTTACAAGTGGTCACCTACAGCCAAGCTGATTGACAGCCATGGAACTTTCTGGAATGGGCTGGGGCCCGCTCAGCAGGACCCTGGACAAGAAGACAGATTTGGGGTAAGCAGTCTCCTGGTGAGAGCACAGACTCTGGAGCCAGGGTGCCTGGCTCAGATCCCAGCTCTGCCACTTACAGACGGAGCTGTGTGACCCTGACCAGGGAACTTTGCCTGTCTGAGTCTCAGTGTCCTCATCCATAAAATAGGATGATAACAGACTCTATCTCATAGACTTGCAGTGAGTATTGAATGAATGTATTAAAAGTGCCCAGAAAATACCTACCCATAATAAATTCTAGAAGTCTTATTATTACCATCCTTATCCTGTTTTATTCATTCTGAGACACATCTCTGAAATCTGAAGATTTTTTTTCTGTCTTCTTGGTATATAACATATGGTGTGCCCAACAGTAGATTGTATTTTAGGTTCAGTTAAATTCATTATTGTTGTTGTAATGATCTCCAGTCTCTAGCACAGTATCTGGTAAATAACGAGGACTCCATACACTTTAGGAAAAACCACATTCTCTGGACACTTGGCCCTCCCAGGTGTCTCTTCAGGCCTTCCCCTCCTGGAATCAGAGTGCTTAAAGGTTTGCCAGTGTGATCATCAGTGTGGGTTCAATTATGATCAGAATAGAAGTTCTGTCATGCAGACCAGAACTGCAGATTCTAGATATGTGATCATCTCATTTTCTTCTCCTTAGCCATCAAGCCAGATGTTTTAGCTGGGTTTTCAGTGTTGGGTGGGTA